GCCTGCTCCACAACCGTTCCCAAAGATACAGGGCAAGGGAATAGTGTGGACTAATCCCAGGGGCAGCTGTCTCGGCTCCCACCAAATTCAGTGCAGGTGCTTGGTGAGTCACAAATTGTGCTGCTGTTGTAGGCATTTATGAGAACTCAACTGTTCCTATTTTTTCTGTTTGTTGTTTGATTTGTTTGTTTGGGATTTTTTTAGTCTAAAATATTATCTTTCCTTTTATTCTTGTTGTATGCCTTATGTTGAAAGTTGCACGTAATGCTGTGCAGGTATGATGTAGCTGGTTTTAAAAGAGAAGAGGGAAGTATAGGCTTGAACCACCTAGAATCTGTAACAGTTCCAGGTGTGCAATTTGTAATGTTTGTCAGTGGTTAGGGATGCAAATTACTTACGCAACAGAGGTGAGGGCGCTGGTGCCTTCTGCGCCCTGTGTGCCATGGTAAATATTTGTCTGAGAACCAGCTGCAGTCGCCTTTTTCCAGGTGTGCGGCAGCTGTTGAAGTATCTGACAGCTGGTGCTGAGATGAATGATCAGCACCTTCCCCACCTTAACCAGCCTGCTGCAAACCTGCAGTGAAGTCTACTGGCAGCTATGGAGTTCTGACAGAGCTGTGGGGAGGACAGCATGGCTGCAGCGGGGAGGGATGCAGAAATGTCTAGCAGAGAGAGGAGTTGCCAAAGGCCCACGTTTGTGGAGACCTGGCTTTAAGCTCCTTTTTGTTTGTTGAGTCCTGGATTCCCTCTCTGGTATTGTGGAAGGTGAGAGAGTGAGATGGGTCAGGACCTTAGAATGTATCCTGAAATGCACAGGAAGGTGGAAACATCTGCTTTTGGACATTAAAGTTTTCCGGATAGAGATTGCTTTGTTTGCTGTGGTGTGTGGGGCACCAGGAAAGCTTACTGTGGAGTACAGCAAGTGCCATCGGAAATGTCAGAGAGAGGCAGGAGAAGGGGGGACGCTCGTGACCTTGCCCAGCTGAAAGCCGCCTTTGTGCTCCGGCAGAGCGGCTGTTTGCACAGGCAGAAAGGGCTCTCGAAGGCTGTGGGAGCCCGTGTAGGTGCAGCAGTCTGTCCAGGCACCGTAAGTTGCTGATTTAGGTCTATAAATAGGGTGCATACCATGGGCTGGAGGCGCTGGGACACCTAGGCGATATGAAATCCTAGATAGAGAGAGATGAAATGGAGACAGTGGAAATGACCCAAGTGGAGAGGGAAGCGCCCTTTAAATTATAGAAGGGAGAATGGAAAAAGGAAGAAAAAAAAATCTGAAAGTGAATGCCACTGCTTTTTGAAGATTTTTGGAAGTAGTGCTGAATTCTCACTTTGGAAATGTCACAATCCCTTCTTTTGTCGAAGAAAAAGGACATTATTATAACCCCAGTTATTGTAAGATGTAAAAGTAGCTGTTCCTGTCTCCTGCTAAACCCCTTTTTGATGTCTCATTTTTAAGCCCGGACTCATTTCTTTATTCCTCTTTGTTAAAGTGCTTCCATCACACAGCATTAGTAGGACCTGAAGCAACACGAAGTTGATGTTTGTTTTACAAGGGGCTGTGGTTACAGTGTTCAGCTGCTGTAACGTATGATTTTTTTTAAAAAGAGCCTGAAATAATTTTAATAGCAAGAATATGTGGAACGGCATTGAAGCGTAATAACAAATTTCTTTTACTTTTGAAAATTGTGCTTTGGATATGTGTGCTGGGTCCATAGTGATCGCTGGTTGAAACGAAATATCTGAATAATCCTTGAAGCAGAGCTTCACTAAAGTAACCTCATGCAGCCACGTCACGTGTGCCTTTGATCTTTTTGATTTTCTTACATTATAAGGATCAGCCTTGCTCAAACTGAGGTTGTATTGTATTGTCTAAATAATAAGTGAATAAAGGAACAGCGGGGTCTCTGAGAGAGAATTTGTCACCTGAAAATTGACAGGAACCGTGTTGCCTGGAGCAGTAAATTTAGAGGACTGGAAATCAAGCATGTTGAACTTTCAAACTCATTTCTTACACATAGTCTTTGAGCTCATCTGTATTCTCGAGCATCCGCTCTGTACTCTCAAGAAACAGACCAAGCTTTTTCAATCAAGACCCTAAAAGCAGCTCGTGCCCGAATGGTGCTTCCCTCCCCCCTTCCCAGGCAGAGCAGAGTCCAGGATCAGTGCTCTAGTTTGTCGGGAGGTTTGACGGACTCCAGATGAGAAAATAACACTGCAGTGTTTTTATGTTACAGCAATGTCTTCAGAGCCTCATCAGAGCTCGAGCCAGATTATGTCAAATGCTGGCCAAAGAGTCCTGCTTTAAGAAAAAAAAAAGTTCTGTGTCCTCAGTATGAGCAGATGACGAGCCCGAATGCATCACATTATAAAGATTAAGCTCTTGTTATAAGAGAAAGAAGATATTAATCCATTTTAAGGGAAGGGAAACTAAGACTTCATTAATGACTTCAGGGAAGTCTGTGATCAAGTGGGAAACTA